ATTTATTCACCTTCTCAGTTTTCATTGCCAAACCTGGGTTTCTGAATGAGAATTATTTCCACTGAGCGTCTTTTGACAATACATCATCTAATGATGTGCCTGGGGCATATTTAAAAAGGAGAATAAAGAATATGGGTGGGTTAATAATGGATGGAAAATGTTTTCATACAGATGTTTTGTCGTTGAAAGAGTTGAAGACTTTAATAATAAGTATTAAGAATACTGTTAGATTTATAAAATCTTTATCACAAAAGATGTCTAAGCAGTATATAAAGTTTTTAAAATTGATTGCAAAAAATTAGTATGTCTTGATGTTTCCATGAGGTGGAATTTTACAAATTTGGTGATAGATGCAACAACAAAATTTCTGCTCCATTTGAAAAGCTTGACAACGAGAACTCTAATTATATGGATTTTGTTTGGGATTGAAGGTCTCTTTCTAATGATTGGAAACATTCTAGCATTTATTAAGTTTATGAAAATTTTCTATGATGCCACCAAGATTTTTTCTACATCATTGCATGTAAGTACACACGTTGTATTTCACTAATTAGTTACTATTTACTTCACACTTAACAAGGTTGTTATGAACCTGAATACTATCTTAACTCCAACTAGTTCTGACATGAGATTGAAATATTATAAATATTAGGGTAGTATTCATAACATAAATCATTTGCTATATTTTGGTGGTATTATTGTTATCCTCGTTACAAGTTTGAGCATGTGATTTGGAATTTTTAAGAAATGTGTAAACATAATTCAAATAAAATTGGTGAACTAGTTAATTAAAGTTTGAAAAGAATGTATGATTAGTACAAACAATCTCTTGATGAACAACAACATAGATCCCATCAATCACATGTTAGTGTAACAGACTTTACATCTTCATTTGAATCATCATCTTTTGGTGAAGTTCTTGAATATTTGGTAAAGAGTGATGCCTTTAAGAAGTATAAGAGAGAAAAAGATTTAAAAGATAGAAAAAATGAACTAAAAAGGTATTTAGATGAGTATGATGTAGATGATGATGAAAAACTTGATATTTTACTTTGGTGGAAAATGATTTTTTCACAATTTCCTATTCTATCAATAATAGTGAGAGATGTATTGGTCACCCATGTACCTCGGAGAGTGCATTTAGTATTGGGGGAGGGTTTTGAGTGTTTTTAGAAGCTCATAAATCTTTCAATGATTGAAACATTTATTTGTGTTCAAAATTAGTTAAAAACGACGATCTTAATTTCAATGAAAAGTTTAAACTTTCAATGAAGAATTTAAGTTTTTTTTATAATTATTTTACTATATATATATATATATAATAATAATAATAATAATAATAATAATAATAATAATAATAAGAAGAAGGTTATTTAACTGAAATTGAAGAAGCATTAGGAGAAGTTGGATCCATTAATGAAGTTATAGTATATCATTTCAATGTTAAATAATCTAATTATGTTGTTTTACTTTAATTATTATTATATTTAATTAACACATTATCATTTTGATAGATTGTAATTGATTTTTTTTTCAAATGTAAATTTATTTATTTTTGCTTTCTGAAGTAATTTTACAGGGACAAATATTAAGATCTTAGCTTATTATTTTTTAATGTATCTCTTTACTCTTATCTTGTCATCATTCTATGAAATGTAATTTATTTTTTAATAATACTACTTATAAACTTATTTAATTAATAACTTAAGAATGTTCGTATTATTTGATTATTAATTTTATAATCAAGTTCTACAATTTACAGAAATTATAAATAGTGAAATTACTTATTTTTCTTATAGTTGAAGACATGTCTTTTAAGATAGGGAATTTTCTTGTTATTCTTTTGACTGATTCTTCACACGTTAATTTGTTAATTAACATGTCTCAATAAATTATTAATAATTTCCTTATTATTTTACTTGTGATCGAGTTCTAGAATTGTGTAAATTTATGCATGGACATATAATTTTTTTTCTGCTCTCATTGCTTTGTATTATGTATTGTATTTGTAACTTTTTTTAGTCAACCAATTATTATTATTAGAAGTAGTTTAATTTCATTATCCATTCTGACTATACTGAAAAACATGTAAGTTTGTTTATAATGAATACCTCTTTTCATATCCTTATCACCAATTTGTAACTATATAAATAATGTATTTTTTCATGTTATTGAATAATATGTGTAATTCCATTTTAATTCAAGTTATTAGAATAAAGATTATTTACTTTATATATTAAAATATTTATGTAGACATTTAATTTAACTGGATAATTATCTTATTTTATGAATAATTTGTAATATTTGATTATCTTATTAGTACTGTAAAGATAAATTATAAATTTCTATTTTTAATATCACGTAAGCTCATTATCTTTTTTGTTGACAGAAAGAACAATTAATTGGTAATGACATTTATGTTTTACAAGATCTTTCTCTAAAATAATGGTATTTATCTATGTTTCGTGTATAATATTTATAAAAATTGTTTTTATTTTGAAGACTTTTAGAATATGTAAAAAAATCATATATTATATGTTTTTTAGCACCACTTGATTTTCTATGAACTTTTTTTATGTAGAAATATTAAGAATTATATTAAATTGCTAAATTTTATATAAATTTAGTTTGTGTATTATTTTTCAGTTTTAATTTTTATATGAATTATTATTTTTTTAATTAGGATTAATTATAAAATCATAGTATATTATAAAAATAATGATTAAAATTATAGTTCATTCATTTAGACAGATAAAATTAAACTAAATAAAATGTTAAAAGTTATATTTTTTTAAAAATAAAATTTTGACTAATTTAAATTTAATCCGAATAATCCATCTAAATTAACCCGCTATTCAAATAACCCGTATCTAATTAACCTAACAAATAAATTATCGTATATAGATTCTAAAAAGTAAATTTCGGTTTAATCTAGATTTATAAAATTTAACCCCCACCCTATCCAATCCGACCGATGCTCAGGCCTAGTCTACACCACTTTTCAAAATCCTCAGTTTCATAGTCCTATTGTGTCTGGTTACTGTATTGAAATACATATTGAGTCAATTTTGTATTCATGAAATTGATTTTGTATTTCACACTTTCTTCCTCACCTCCTAGTTTCATCCTGCCTCCGGTAATTAAATTAAATTCTATTTTACCTTTATACATTTCAGGTATTGGGAATACAGTTTAAGATAAAAAATTTCAAAATTATGTTATGAAATAAATTCTCTGCAAACATATTCTGAAAAATAATTTCTGAAATGACTTTTAAAAATTTATTATAGAAATGTATTATAAAATTCACTTTTTTTAATTTGTTTTTTCAAAATACACATTTGAATTGACTTCTTCAACAACATATTCCGAAACCTTCAATCTAAAATATATTTTCATCTTAGTCTTTTTGTAAATATATTTTAAAATAGGTGTTCAAAATATGTTTAAAAAAAGTCAATTCGAAAAAGTATTTTAGATTTGATATTCTAGAATTTAATTTAATTTTTGTAAAATTATTTCAAATCAAATAATCTGGATCTTGATAAGTAATTTCAATACATAATAATATAAAAAATACATCATATTAACTATTACTCACTTTTTAAATATTGAAAATAATATTAAATAGAAGTGATAACACAAGAAACTAAATCTACAAATATATAAAAATGTAGAAGATGAACAATGGAGGTCAAAACTTTTGTAAGAAAATAGAAAAAATTAGTGTTTAAAATAAAATTATTGAAAGAATATTTTAGTTATTTTACCTGAAGAAAGTGTTTTGAATAAAAGTTTAAATTTTTATGAGAGGATACTAATACCTCATTGATAGTTCAATATAAATCATTAGTGAAAAAAATATTATTTTGATAACGAGAATGGTTAAATAGAGTCATTATCTAAATAGTGTAATTCTACAGAAATCTCTAGAATAAAATTAAAATTTATGATATTAATTTAATTAACCAACTTGACTATTTGTATTGTTCTTCATAAATTAAATACTTTTATGAATTCCTGAAAATAATATTTTGAACAAGATACTCGTGATAAAAACTAAACAATTATGCAAATATAACTGTGATTTATATTAGAAGCAGTACATTAGTAAAGCATAATTTTTTGATGTTTTGTAGGATTATAATTTGAGTAATATATATATTATCAGTGGTTTTTGTATTATTATTATTATTATTATTATTATTATCAAAATTATTATTGTTTATTATAAATTATAAATGATTATAATGATAATATTAATAATAATTTTATTGATAAATAAAAATAATAAAATTAATTAATAATAATACTAATAAATAAAAATAATTAATGCTTATTATTATATTCATTACTGAAGATTATAATTTATCCTATTATCAATATTATTATTAATTATTAAGTAATAAAAATATTGATATTAATAACTATAATAAAAAATAAACACAATAAATATTAATTATTTTTATTATTAACATTATGTTTATTTTTAATATAATTATTAAATTTATAATCATATGCTTCGCTCTTGACAACATTGATATGCCAGCTATAATATGGCGATATCATATCCCTACTTCTGTCTGGTCGATGCTGGGGCACTTCGATACGACACTTAAAATTAGTATAGAAAGTTAACGAGAATACACATTTAACAACAGTTTGTGCATGAATTTCAACAACAATCTGACATTGCAGATCTCCAAAAACTGGTAATGAAAATTCAATACAAAGAAAAGTACTGAACTCCAGGAATCAACTAAAAGAATGGCACAACTCTAAATTTCACAAAATTGACTAAGTTAATTGCTGAATATCCTGGAATGTACATATGACGAATCCTGCAAACCTGCTCTAATCAATGCCCAAAAAAAAAAGCAGAATATATCCTAAATGAAAATGACTATATTGAATATGACACATTCTAATTACACAATTTCTAGGGTGGCTCTCAAGGTGGAAAACCGAAACTAAGTAATGTACAAGGATCCTACTCCAAATTACTTCTGGTGCCCAGTCTTGGGCTTCGATCTCATGCTAGCTCGTCTTGCAACATCCCATGCCTTGGGTGGGGCGTATACACCAAGCTGTGCCGCAAAAAAGGATTCATACCCAGGTGAATCAAAAGCAAAACCGGTGTGCTTTGATATCTCACGTGGGAGTTGAGATATTGCATAACTCCTTGCCTCAGCTGGCGTAAGCTGGTTCCCTATCTCCAGCAGCTGTGCCCTACCAGTGTTATCTAGCTCATCTCTGTGCATTTCTTGAATAATCTGATAATCATAGGGGAAGAACCATCTTTGAATCCTGTAACCAAATGAATCAAACAAAATGAACAAAGCTGCAGGAATAAAGAGGCCACCAATTTTTAAAATATCATGCTCCAAGCTCTCCGTCTCACATGCAAATAACATAGGGTACTTAATTCACTGCGTTCACATGTCTATAAAAAAACTGTTTCCTTTGTATTACAATGCACAAATAGAGTAGCATGACAGATGATGCTGCAACATCCATTTTTATCAAATGAACATTATAAAAGATTATCATCTCTCGAAACCCAGACCCCTCTGCTGCATTAACAGCTGGACCTCCAGTGCACGACTCAACTTAAGATTTGAACCTTACCCTTGGTAAACAAAGTCGCAGAAAAGTGCAGCAACAGGAACTAGAAGTAGCATGACGTAGAAGTAGAACGTAGTCATCAAGACATATATGACAAAATAAATATTCTCCTGCAGAAAATGAAACAGAACTCAAGTTAACAGAGTTCTTAATGGGTCATTAGGAATTTCCAGAGCTTTTTTTTTTAACACACCACATTCAGTAGAAAAAGAATTCACCTGACGATCATAGGGAGTGCTAATCCCTGAATATATGAAAATAAAAATAAACCAGGCTAATATACTTCCACCAACACTAATGCAGTGCCATCTAGTGATCGAATTACAAATCATAAGCAGTCGAAAGTTGACGGTTATCACAACACAAGTGAAGGCCATTGTACTGACATCCCAGAGTCCAAATATCTTGCCTGCTGAGTTTTTAGCACTTAAATTTGTTGTACTCACAAAATAGAAGAATATTAGAGACTGGTATACAGAAAAGAATGCCCATATTGCCACAACTTTCCATTTGAAGAAAACATTTCTTATTCCCTCCATGTATAGTTCAGGGTACTTCTTGGATAGAGATGAACTGACATCCTGGCAAAGGTATAAATAACTAATCATAACATGCCATCCATGAAGAAAAACTGCAAAGTTAAAAATGACGAACCACTGCACAAGACAACTGTTGGAAAGAATATCCCACCTTGTCAAATAATCCAACAATGATTACAGGTAGTGCTGTGAAGATAACATTATATAATGACTGAAACCAATCATCATAGAATCTCTGACCAGAAAACCCAGTTTGAAACGTAAACCAAAACTGAGTAAGAGTGAAAGTGAGATTCTTGTAAAAGAAGTATAAGACAACCTGCAATAACCGATTTTCAACAGTGTTATAAGAAAAACACAGTAAAACGAGAGTATAATTGGAGTTTACAAAACAAGATACCTTGCATATTCGCAAATAAGACCATCGGCCATGAACAAGAAGTAAATCTGCAAGGTAACGGAACTGTGCAATGGCAAAATCGCTGGCCATCACAGCTTGCATTCCCTCCAACCCACTTATGCCAACACCAACATGTGCAGCTTGAATCATGCTAACATCATTGGCTCCATCACCAATACTAAGTGTTATTTTTTGTGCACCTTTCTTAACCATACTCGTGACCTGCAAGGATATTTACGAACAAATCATGGAAAAATTTCATACTAGATCAAATTCCACTAGACAGTTACTTTAAGCTCTCCCACTCATCATGTCAAAAATTAAATAAGAACTTAGCTTCACAGACAACATAATCTCACAACATATCAAGATTAAAAAGAACTACCAAAATAAGTCAATAAATGAGTTAATAACCCAATATGACCTTACCTGTGCTTTCTGCAAAGGAGACACTCGACAGCAAACAACAGAATGACAATTCAAACTTAGGTTCAGCAGCATCACTCTTAAACTTGGATCCAATGCATACATTAGACATTTTCCATCAATTACAAGTGCTAATTTTGGTCCAGATAGGGAATGAAAAGAGCTCTGTGCTTCCTCAAGGCATTTCTTCAGCTCTTTTTTCACTTCGTCTTTGATAAACCTTGCAATTTCTACTTGGTCACCCTAAATAAATTATGAAAGTATGTAATTATTTCAGTCAGAAACACTAAGCATATGAGAAAAACATGATAGCAAAAATGGACAGTACCCTGTCTTCAACTTCTCTAATTGCATCAGTTTCTGAACTAATCACAAATTGCTTCATCTCATTGTTTATCAAGTTGCATGCTGCAGCAAGAGGGTGAAACAACATATAAAATGGTAACTGACTGCTATACTTTTGGGAAAATTAACAAAAGCATAACAAGAAGAAAAAAATACAGGTCTAATTCTAAACAGTCTCACCATAGGCTATGTTAATCGCTGTTTCAATCTTGTCCCCTGTAAGAACCCAAATTTTTATACCAGCTCTTTGAAGAGTCTCTATGCAAGCTGGTACTCCCTCTTGAAGTTTGTCTTCTATGGCTGTGCTACCAATTAAAATGAGATCATTTTCGATAAGTTCTGCCACCTGTATCATTTCTAGAATCCTCAGTAGGAATAGGAATAACTCACTACTATCTTCACACAATGAAATTCAAACATTCTGCACTTTTATGTAACTTATTTTCTAACAATCAGATAAAATATCATAATTGTTTATTCCTAATTATCATATCAGGATTCAACTTGCTGGTTGCAGCATTTAATTTATCATACAATGAGATGCAGCATTTTTTTATTATTTATTAATTCAGAAAATTAAAGAAATTGAAGAGAAGTTAAGATGGAATTAAGTTTCTATGTTTTGGTGATGTATTCATTCAGACTGTTGTGGTTTAATGTTCTGATGTTTCCGAATATGGTGCAAGTGAAAAGTGCAAAAGTTATTGATTTTTGAAAACTAGCTCAAGAAGTGCCTTGAGGAACCACAGGTCCATTTTCACTTTATCAAAATAAAAAAAAACTAGCTTATCTAACTGATGGCAAATATCTAATGTATGCATTGGGTCCAAGATTGAGAGTAATGCTACAGAATTTTAGTTTCAATTGTCCAGCTATTTCAATCTGCTGAATAACATAGTTGTTTCTTTCTAATATTTTCACTCAAGTGAAGTTTGGTTGCAAGGACAAGTATAGAGCAAAAATTAATAAGAACAGTGCATCTGTTTCTTTTTAATCTGATCTTTTTAGATTCCAATGAACTGAAGTAATTAAAAGTAAACCATCAAACTAAATTTCGTTTGAAGGAAAAGTGTAATGTAGAAAATGAGTCATGTAAGGAAATGAGTAGAAAAAAATGTTTTACTTTCAACTTATATATGAGAAGGAAAGAGTGGGAAGTGATATTTTTGAAAACCAACCTTCTCTCGTCTCTCCACAAAATAAATGAGTAACTTTTTCATTAAGTTAAAAAAAAAAAAAACTAGGAAAAAACGAATAAAAAGCAAAATGGGGTATTTTATGATATGTGGAGTGAAGCAGAAACCACAGTTTCTAGTTGATCATGCTTAAAAGCTTAATTATATTATACTCCCTTCTAGATTGCACCACGTAATTCCTTTTATTATCCACGTGGCATTTGATCCATTACTCTGTCAACTAATTCATCTATGTGTAAATCAAATTTGTGAATGAAAAGGCAAAGAAAAGTTTATTTCACATTTCTTTTCTGTTATCTGGAGCTTTTCTGTTATTTTCATCTTGTATCATTTTACTATGGGTGCTGCAGTCCCATGGCATGGCAGCTGCCATACAATGGGAGATAATGCATGGCGAATGGTGAAGAGATCCCAACAGGTTATAGTGTTATGGAAGTAATATACTCTAAACAAAAAATTGCTATTTAATGAGGTAATCTACTCTAAAAACATAAATTGTTTGATGCTAAATATGCATATAAAAGTTTCCATGATAGTAGGAAAATCGGTACCCACCTCATCCAATTTCTTTTCTCGATCATTTAGAGAAGACTTGGCCTGGATAAACTTCTCATTCCAGCTTTCATAAACATCAGGATGCAATTCTTTGTAGGCTAGGCATAGTGTGCGTAATCCAGCAGATCCAAATTGTTCCAAATGCTCCCTGGTGATTTTCTTGATATTATTACTACTATCATCAGCCAGTCTCTCATAGATTACAGTATCAGCACCCTGTGAAAAGCAAGTTCCATGGAAGATGTTATATTAAGCCAAATCCAAGCAAATTTTTAGTATTAACGAGAAGCAGATTAGTGCCCATTACCTTACAGTATAGTACAAGCCTTCCATCAGGATAACGGCATACAACAGACTGACGCTTCCTTGTACTATTAATGGAACAAAGGTTACAAATATGATCAGAAGAATATGTTAAAACTTAATACCTTACATTAAAACCAATAGGAGCGACAGTTACCTATTAAACTCAAGAACATTTAAAATCTCATAAGACACGTCTTGAATTTTGCCCATTTTCTCAACATGAGATTCACGAACATATATCATTGTAGGTGTGCGTCTGATAAAGAATCAAAGTAATCACATCAAGTCAAACCGAAAAACTGAGGCCTACAGAGATGGAAGTTAAGATGGTCTCCGTAACAGAAATATATATAAGATATCATGGAATGTTCATATCATTTCTCCAACAACAAGCCTAAAATTCAGATTCATTATGATGAAGAAGCTTATTTATGTGTCACCATTCTTCCATGCGTAATTGTTGTGAACATGTTGTGCATATTGAATCATTTAGTATTGATCAAACTAAACACATCTCCTAGACATCCAGTCCAAAAATTCAACTGCACACCTGATACAAAAACCTCTTTTTATATTATAAACTACGTCTCAGTACTTAGTAGCACACATGCCCATTAACTACTCCAAATTATATGTTATCATTTATGCCTACCACCAATTAATAATAGATCAACACTTTACAAAGTCCAACTATGGAGTTTTCCTTTTACATACAACTCAATCTGTGCAATTATAGTATATAGCTTGCTACAGCCTGCGCGTTACACCTTATAATATTATCTAGATTGTTCTATGTACGTAACAAAGTATTTACATTTTAAGATCAATTCACATTTTCTCTCCTATACCTAATATGTTCCAAGCTTATTATGACCTCTTCAAATGATATATAAGACATTAAGAAGGTTAGATGATATGATAAATCGGGTAAAGAAGTTCAGGGAACTTCAACTTAACCAAAAGCATACCTCGCATTCTATGTAGTTATTTATTATTGTTTTTTACGATCATTTTGTCCCCTACTCTGTAACAGGTCATCAACATTCACGCACTGTTCCACATATAGATGCATACAATCCTTACATTGTTGGTAATCTAGTATTTGAGGGCAATTAGTGATGTCACAATTTTCATGAACAGAAAGCCAGCCAAAATGAGTCCAAAGGCTCATTTACAGCTTTACCTGCTTTTCTCTATCTGATTCTGTTAGTATTGGATCAGTTAACAACGACTAAAAGGACATGAGATATCCATCCCAATGATAGGGGGATACCACCAACGAGGTTGGAGTTCTTGGCAGAAGTTTAATTCATTAAAATTGGTCGCTAAGTTAAATATTGGAGGTTCAATACTTGACTGTATTGCTAGCACGCCCCCCTATGGCTGGATGCTTGTTGTGCAGATAAATAGAACATAATCAAGAAGTTTGAACATCGAACCTGTAGAAAAAGAAACCAAAGTGTTTTGCAGCAATAACCAAAGCAGCCTCATCAGGTGATGCAGCTTGATATTTGATCTTTTCAGGGGACTCATCACCCTCAGGCAGTACAGTATGGCATATAGCAAGGCATCTGAAGAATTCCTACATAGCAATAAAAAAGGTAGTATTACTTTGGCTTACATAACATACTAAAACTGGTACAATTCATGGTGTGAGCATATTGTAAAGAAAGCCACTCAAGCGCTTAACTGATAGACAATATATACAAAAAGATAAACAAGGTTAAACAATATAAATATAACTTCTCGTAAAAATGAAGAATCTTGACAATGCCAACTGTGCTTGAAAATTAGGTTCATCAATATAAGATCTGTTTATTACCTAGGAAGTGCGCATATGATGCAGGACATGCTTACATCAATATGATACAAGCATAAGAATACAGTGTCAAAAATTACAGGTCACAGCATAGCTACAGTAGAACACATAAAATTAGAATACACACATTTCTAAGAAGTGACAGACTTTTAGCAATCCAACTGCATCTTACAAATGTTGCCCAGAACTCATTTCAGATGGGCAGGTAAAGATTTTTTATATAGCTTCTAAATACTACTTCCCAGGACACATTTCAAGCAACAATTTTTATATCAACAATATAAAAGCTATTATTTAAGCCAACTAATTTGCCATTATAAACGAAACATGTTAAAATGCATACATATAATAACCTTTTTTGTTAGCAAGGATCAAACTTATTGTTGGATATAGGAATTTTTAGAAGACAAGAACTTTCTTGTAAATTGTTTGGCATTAATTATCTTTGTAATATTCTGGACTATAAAAATATCCAACCTGCCTGGTGGAATAACCATTCAAGCATATTTAGAAAATATTTGTTTCTCTCTCTATCCTAATTTGAGTTGAGAGAATGAACAGACTGCATCAGAAGAGTCATGTTTACCTTGCAGACATCAGGATTAGGCTCATTCCTCCAAGCTCCTCTCATAAGCCTTGCGTCATCAAAATTAAAACCCCTCTCTTGCATTACTTTGGAAGAACTATTTTCCTGTAGAGAAAATACAATATAAATGCAATCCCTCTTACAGATAAACTACTTTTACACAATGCAAATATTTAACCTCAATCTTCATGCCATTGCGCTCTGCTAATCCTCTCTCAATTTCAGTCACACCATTTCCATAGACCTCTGCTCCAATCGAACACTTGAAGAACTCCATTAAATTTCTTGTTAGAGTTCCAGTTTTATCAGAGAAAATGTATTCCACCTACTCAAATCAGAAAATAAAATTTCAGTTGAAATTTCTTGTTTCTTTTGCATATTATTTCATTCTAATTTTGGGAATAGTTTATATGTAGACTATCTTTCACTTCCTTTCTAATCAATCAGTTATTTCAAGCAAAAAACATGGCAGCAACTTACCTGCCCAAGTTCTTCATTCAAATTTGAAGTTCTTGCCAATGCAGGTGTATTCGTTTCAGCATGGTACATGCACAAGTCCTTGTTGATAAATTGAGTTGATTGAATAAATTTTATCATCTGGTACAATAACGAAAATAAATTACATTTTCTCTTTAGAATCTAAATATTCGCATTTATAGGGCATAAATGAGTGAGAAGCAAACCTCTATGGACACATAAAGTGAAATAGGAATAATTGTTGAGTATAGGGTGATTAAGGTAAACATGGTCAGGATAAAAACCTGAAAACACAAAACATAGAATTAACAATAATAACTTAACAGAGAAAGAAAGAGGATGGCTCTTTATCTTAATGAAGTAAGCTCAAGTACCAAAAATCTATTTCTGGGGTTGAACTGTGCGGAGCCCTCCTCTGATGAATCAAGATGCAAGTAAAAATATTTTTTGTTTACGAAGATAGCACTGCAGTTAACACAAATACAATAATGTCATTTAGAGATAAACTATACCATTACAAAAGGGATTAGCTGTCAAGTTTATTTTTCTAAAAATGCTATAATGATTTAATTAAAAATAAAAATAATAAAAACAGTCCTAAATTTCCCACACTGTAATAACTGTTTTTATTATTTTCTTTTAAGGAAATATATCAGCATTTACATTATTTGAATAGAACTTTGTACACATAATCTTATCTAAAGATTGAGGACATGTAGTGCCAACCATAACACAAGTGTTGATAACAGTAATATATACACTAAATGTAATGTGAGTTTAAACAAAATTAATCCCATCCTCATACTGCAATGTACTTGAACGCCCATTAAAAGTTCACAACAGATTAGAAGGCGTCTGACAAAACTCAATCATTTAACTTACCTTCCAATGGCTCCAATGAAACACATCATGAAAAGAGTTGCAAATAGAGTTAATATGAGCTTGTCAAGCTTCCTCTCTAGTGTACTTCTTTTGGAAGGAACATTCATTGTATTCATCATCACCTGCAATGTTTTTCAAATATCCGTAAAATACTATCAATGAATCCTTAGAGCATATTTGATTTTTTTTCATTTTCATTTACAGATGTGCTTTCAGTTTTTCATTGCCGATTACAAAAATGCCAACTTGCTTTTATTCAATTTCCTGCACTCAATTTTGTATAGGAAATGACAGGATATCCATGAACAATGAAAGCAGGAAAACTTGTAAGCAATAGTGACATTTTAGAAAAGCTTGTTTGGTTTGCTATTTTCATTTTCAGATAACAATTATTAGAGCAAGTCTAGCCTTTTCTTTATTTTGTTCCCTTTTCTTCAATATTTTGTGAAGGAAAGGGTGTAAAGAAAAAGGAAAGTCAATTTTTCCTAACGTTTTTATTCCAAAAATAAAGAAATCAATCTATAGCCATCAAAACAAAACTTATTTTCAGTTTCTTTTCTTCTTTTCCCATATCCCTGGACCCCAATGATAATTGTTTGGTATTATATCAATTAAATATTTGAAATACTTATGGTTAATGATAATTATGAAAGTATTATGAGTGCAAACAATATCAGTTTGTCACTGACAACACTTCAACAAACAATTGATTACTAGTATTTCACATGTCTACAGTAAAAAATGCACCAACGGCGATGGATATTCAGAGAGGTATTCTCTATTTATCATCAGGAACCATTTTATAGAGCGAACCTTTGTTTCATGTCCTGTAAATATCACAACCCCAACAATATACTCTGTATTCCTGAGACTGCAACCCTGAAAAGTCACGATGCTCCAAGTCAATATAAGTTTCACAAACTAAGTAAATAAAACATCGGCTTATGGTATAAAGAAATTTGTGACTTTTTAAACTCGAGGGAATATTATTTCTAATTTAAACTAGTTGTTTGAGATTAGTTACTTTCAGTTTCTGTCAGCTGTATCTCTGTTGTAAGACAGTAATAATTATCACAGAAGGCATCTGTTAGGATCTAGCGCTTCTGCCATATAAATTTATAACTGTACGCAGAAGCTTCCACAGTACACTTGACAGTCATCAGAGATACCAAATATTCTCTCAATTCGCAACTCTATCTCAATCCAAAAAACAACCAATATGACAAAAAGAACACTGTACTCACCTCATAAAATGAGCAATTATTACTATTTTATACGCAAACACAGTTCAGCATATATATATATATATATATATATATATATTTGGGGAGGGCCAACATACCCGCAACAAAATTTGATTTGGACTCAGAGGCAATGTTTGCTTTTGGCTTATAAGATTTCCAGTAAAGGTATACAATGAATTGTTTGGTTGTTCACATTGAATTTCACCTACAAATAGTTAGAAAACTTGTCAGAACTTGAAACATATAACCAAAAGATCAAAATTAGAATTAACCATTGGAATTGACATTAGTAAAACTGACAATAAATAAGTCTTGCATGGACGTCAGAACAATATGCCTTAAAAAACTAAATTAAAGACAATCAATTCAATGAGCCATAAAAAGTTCTCCGAAGGCCAATTACAAAATAAGAATTTTTATTAAGAAAAAAAATCCAACAATTTATCATGAACATAAGTTAAGAGTGTGGAGATAACTGCCAAGATTAGATTATTTTAAATATCGATTATAAAAAAAATCATATATTGTTTGGATAAGTTTGCTGAAAAGTGATTTCAAGATAATTTTGTTTGAATGCAATGAAATATATCAGCTATTACATGAAAAAGAGTATTTTAAGGACAACAAAAAAACTTGTTTACTTAATTCCATCTGATTTCCAAACATGCTCGCTTGAGACATATTTGGACAGCTGTAAAAATTACATTCTGTCAATAATCAATTATATATATATAATCGGTGATAATCAAAACCTATTTTTTGTTTGGTTAAGTTTGCTAAAGAATGGTTTTTAGGATAATTTCATTCGGATGTTAAAAAGAATATGCTTTTACATAAGAGTATGCATGAAGCTGAAAGAGAAAAAAACCGGTTTTTAGATTCATAAAAAAAGCATCCAAACAACAAGCTTTTATAAATAAATTATTTTTTTACTAAAACAGCTGCAATGTTAGGGAAAAAGCTTTCCCAAATATGCTCTTGGTATCTTCCAAGTTCTCCCGCTTAAATCCACCTGAGATCCCCAAATTTGGAGGGATTTATACAGCCGAATATATGACATCATCAATTACTCAATTTTACAATACTTTTACTCAGCCTGAATCATCACTGATCTAATGCTGGAGAATAATGAATGTGATCTGAATAAACAGACAAAAACAATATCATAAATTTATCGCAACTTTCAGAAACATAGAAAAACAAGAAAATTGGAGGAACACGTTTTCAAGTAACTAGAACATAGATACTACTAATATACATTTTCACCAACTAAACTCCCATACACAGAAAAGAATACCGATTGAAAAGATGATTTATACATAGATAAATAAATAAAAAATGCAAACCTTTAAACTCATATGCCTTCTCCGGTGTCACGTAATCCCAAGTCTTTTCCAATGCTTTCCTAATCTTTAAATTGGTCTCCCCATCCAAATTAGCAGTCTGCCACTCAAAACCAATGTTAATTAACGTCAAAGACGGTTAAATAGCTTCAGGAAAACACTCATACCAGATTGAAAAATATAAATAATAAACCTCGATGTAGCAGACACCATCTGCATTAGTGCTCGCCAAGAACAGCAGATCTGCAGGAAAGAATCCATCCTGTTTAACCTGCAACAGTGTATAACTTACAGTAAGTATTGTGTACATAAATTGCAATAGAATGACATCAAAACAAACACCTCAGGACACATGGATTCTATATTACACACACCTGCAAACCAAACCTTGCTCTTAACAATTAAATCATATAATGGCAAAGGAAAATAGATGTGTAACAAGAATTTGTGATTTAAGAAACATACCTATCTCAACCAGATATATAGTAAGGAAACCAAAACATTGATCCAATTACATACTTATTGAAAGATGTGAGCAAACTTAATATTCTGTGCAAAAATAAATTAGCTACAAAATTGTGAAACTAGATAGAAATAAATGAAGGGTAGAAAGTAAATTATTAAAAAAGACATAATAAAACTAAATTAAATAAATGATTACTACTTAATACTGTATAATGCAAAATATGAAACCTATTGTTATCTAGCAATGGATCAGCACGAGGAAAAGGAATTCCACCTATTAATATAGAAACAAACTTGGCCTACTTCAATGTCAAAAGCCAGATTCAAGGGGAGAGGATTGTCCAACTTGACAAGGAGTACTTTAAACATATACCTACCTCCTATGGGGATCAAAACACACCCCTCAACCCAAGAATGAACATTTGGACATGAAGTTCACATTTAAAACATATTCAAGGAAATATTGCAAACCCATAATCAGAAGAACATGATAACAAACTTCCTGGCGAAGTTAAAACACAAAATCAATTATCATTTTAGACATCCTTCTTTGTGTGAGTGTATAACTTAATTACAGATTTATCTTTTCTTATTGTATTTTTTACTTTGGCTGTGATCACGTGTCATGAGCTTTACTGTGAATGGTGACAGCTGTCTCTAAAGATGGTTCAATTTGTTAAGTGAGCTTCTCATTAAGGTTGTTCACTTTGCAAATATCAATATACTTAATTTTTTTTTAATTTTCGGTTTTTACTTCAATATAATATCCAGATCTTACTGATCTGTTTTTTATTTCAATGCCTTGTAAGTACTAGTTCAAAATATAGAGATGTCAAAATTTAACTAGCACAGAAATGCATAGCACACTAACCTTGACAATGTCTCCAACCTGCAACTTTTTCCAGGGTATAGGCTCCCACTTTTGATCTTGCAAAACTTCTATAGTATTATTGTTTATGGACATGTCATTTTGAAATCTCTTCTGTTATACACAATTTAAAAGGGAGAAAAAAGAAATTAGTAAGTGAAATACACAAATCAATTGGCATAATCTAATCCGCGAGAATGGGTGAAGAATTTCCAATTAAGAAATCCAGTATGGAAAACAAAAATAAGATAAAACAAAGTCAAAACCATATTCTTTAAACAAAATATGTGTAGTGCTTCACGAACTTGTAAGCACATAGTATCATAAAATGCTTATCTCTACATTCTACAACAAAATATATATTCAACATTTTTCTATATCATCCTCCGCCAGAATTTCTATAAAATTCCTATCTGAAACTGTAATTTCCTTGCCCTAAAAAGCACAAGCAAAAAGTGTTAAAAACACGCAAAAATGATAGCAAAAAATATTCTTACCCAGTCCTCAAAAGCTTCCTTGATAAGAGAGACAAGAAGCACCAGAGACAGAGGAAGCACATTTGTTATTGGAGACACAGGACTACAACAGAAAATTTATAATCAGACTTGGTCCAACGTCTTTTTTATAAAATATAAAACTAACCAAAAGTATATAAAGCAACCAGCATAAATGAAGTACATACTACTGATAACAAACTTCAAAATAACTAGTGGGGGGAGTTACATATCAGTTCAGGGGAAAAATTATGCTGAGTAGTTCCAAAAAAATTTTTGCTTAGCAGTTGAGGAGCAAGGGAGTCCAAGTAAAAGTGGATACAAAACAGGGATATCATCATTATATATTGTTAATTTGTTATAGATTAGCATGAGGCAGGAAAGTAACGGTAAAATGCAAAATCCAAGAAAAATGGGATAAATGATAACATAGTTATTTCATTAGAAGTTTATTGTAAATTGTTAAAGATTTCATATCGATATGGACTAAAGATATTGTTGGAATAGATTAGAAAATATATGTAATCATTATACCTAAGGTAGGAGGTTGAGTGTTAGATAATCTCTGCAGGGGGTTGAGTGTTAGATAATCTCTGCACCTAGTTCTGAGGAGTAATCTAGGACTGTGCATTTAATGTAATCTCCCTATTGTATCAGTTTTTATCTATATAAATACAGAACTATGAGAGGGGTTCTTCAAGCCCTCTAAAAACACTTTTTCTCAGTCTTTGAATATCAAGTTGGTATCAGAGCCAAAGCCTAACATCTTTCCGGTTATTGTCATGGGCCAAAAGTTGCCCTTTAGTTGGGTCAAAAGTACCATTTGCCTGGTCCGGCAGGCTTCGTTGGAGGGGGTGTGTTGAAAGTCCCACATCGCCTACCTCATGTCATTTGGTATGGTTTAAATACATGTTAGGCTACTCCACATATTGCCAATTGGTTTTATGTTGGAACCTTAACATGTTGAAAGTCCCACATCGCCTACCTCATGTCATTTGGTATGGTTTAAATACATGTTAGGCTACTCCACATATTGCCAATTGGTTTTATGTTGGAACCTTAACTTGGTATCAGAGCGGGTCGATCCCGCTCTGCCTGTTTCTGTAGTATCCGGCACTGTTTTTGCCGCTGTCTGCCGCCGGCCACCGTCCGACTCCGGCCACCGTCTGCCGCCGGCCACTGTCTGCCGCCGGCCACCGTCTGCCGCCGGCCACGGTCCGACTCCGGCCACCGTCCGACTCCGGCCACCGTCCACCTCCGGCCACCGTCCGCGCCGCCGCCTCCGCCACCGTCTCCGATCGTCCGGTTCGCGGCGACCACCGGATCCGAATCGTCTCGCCGTGCGGCAGCCAACCCGTCGGTCCCGGAAGCTCGTTCTCCGCCACGCGCCGCCTCTTTATTTCGGTGAAGTCCAGTAGTCACCCTTGCGAAAATCACTCTTGGGCTTTCGGACTTCTTTGCTGTTTTTCGCCCCCCTCCTCACTGGTCTTTGTCCTCTTGATCAGAAATGGCTGCAATTTCATTCTCTGGAAGCCCCTCCATTACTTTCGAAAAACTAAACGGACAAAATTATCTATCTTGGTCTGCTATCGTCGAAATGTGGTTTCTCGGTCAGGGGCATCACGACCACCTTGAAAAAGACGGAAGCCATGTGCCGGAAGAAAAAGCTGAACAGTGGAAACGAGCGGATTTTCAGCTATGTGCTCTATTGTGGCAATCAGTGGAACCAAGACTTTTGATGTCGCTTAGAGCCTTCAAAACTTGTCACTCCTTTTGGAAGAAAGCTCAAACCATTTATGCCAATGATATTCAACGTCTCTACGATTCCACAAATAAGTCGGCATCTCTAAAAATGACGGATCATGATATGGTGTCCTTTATGAATGACGCCCGATCGAGCTGTGGAAGAACTCAAGATGTTCTTGGAAGTCGATTCCTTAGATGAAATGAAAAAGAAGCTTGACAAGTATTACATGGTGATGATCCTTCGCGCAATACATCCGACTTTAACCATATCGAGAGATCAACTTCGACCACTTATGAAGTCCCTTCCATGGATACCCTTATCACACGTTTGATTCGTGTACCAATGTTCGAGACTCGGGAAGCTCCGGCTCTAGTAGAACCATCCGCCATGGTTGCCACACGAGGAAGAGGAGGACGTGGCACCGGAGGAGGAGGATGTGGAGGTCGAGGACGTCCCCAATGCACCTACTTGTAAGAGGATGGGTCATACACGGGAGAAGCTGCTACTCCTTGCATGGTTTTCCTCCCAAAGCGCCAATGTCTCCAAGGCTGAAACAGTCAACTCCAAGTTCACCGAGGACGAATACCAAGAGTATCTACGGTTAAAGTCTAATAGCTTGGCACATACCTCTCAAGCTGCCAGACACATCAAGCTGCTTGCATTTCTCAATCTGTGGAGGGTCAAAATTCATGGGTAATTGACTCTGGTGCTTCTGATCATATATCTGGTAATACCTCCTTGTTCTCAACCATTTCCTTTCAAGAAAAACAACATTTCATAACCCTTGCAGATGGCTCTAAAGCTTCCTCAAAGGGAGTGGGCCAAGTTTCTTTATCTCCTTCCATAAGCCTAAAATCTGTCCTTTTTATTCCTAATTGTCCTTTCAATTTGATTTCCTTAAGTCAGTTAACCAAAACCTTAAATTGTTCAATAACCTTCGATAACAAATCTTTTGTTATACGGGAGCGTGGTTCGGGGAGGCAGATTGGAGAAGGATATGAAGGCTGGAGGATTATACCTTTTTGGTCCTCGTCCACGTGTGTCCTGTGTTGCTACTCAGAGCCCTAAAATGTTACATGATCGGCTTGGCCATCCTCATTTGTCAAAATTAAAAAGAATGTGTCCCGAACTTAGTGGTCTCCGAGACCTTAGAATGTGAGTCATGTCGGCTAGGGAAACATGTTAGATCTACCTTTCCTAAACGGTCTCAATCACGGTGTACTTCCAGTTTCTCTATTATCCATTCCGATATTTGGGGACCCGAGTCGCATCTCATCTTTTGGTTTTCGGTATTTTGTTACATTCATTGATGAATATTCACGATGTACTTGGGTTTATCTTATGAAAGATCGCTCCGAATTGTTACCCATCTTTACATCCTTTTTGAATGAAATCAAGAATCAATTCAGATCAAGTAATCAAAATTTTAAGAAGCGACAATGCTAAAGAGTACTTCTCATCCACCTTTTCTACTTGTTTTGAGTTCACATGGAATATTGCATCAGTCCACTGTCCTCATACACCACAACAAAATGGTATAGCAGAAAGAAAAAATAGACATTTGGTTGAAGCTGCACGTACTCTTTTGCTGGGTGCTCATATTCCTGTCCATCACTGGGGGATGCCATCTTAACCGCATGTTTTCTTATTAACAGGATGCCATCTTCCTCTCTCGGTAATAAGATCCCTTTCTCCATTCTATTTCCAAATAATCCTCTCTTTCACACATCTCTTCGAGTTTTTGGTTGTGTATGTTTTGTTCATGATATGTCTCCGGGTTAGACAAGTTTTACTGCTCGTGCTATCAAATGTGTCTTCTTGGGCTATTCCGCCTTCAAAAGGGTATCGGTGTTACTCTCCCGAAACCAAGAAGTACTACATGTACTGCCAATGTTACATTTTTTGAGCAGGACTCCTTACTTTTCTCCTTCGTTCAAGATGTTCATGTCATACGACGAGTTCTTCCCATTCCAGTAGTTGAGTCTAATATTTCCAATGTCTCTATCGATCTCCGTAGTGATCCAAGTCTTCCTGAACCATCCTCCCCTCAAATTGATGTTGTCAATCATAGGACCCCGATGGCTAGTCCTGTTCTCCAAGACGAGGGTGAATCCCCCACTTTAGATTCTTCTCCAACATCGCTTCCTACCATGACTCCTGGTGGAGGTGATTCAGGATGGCCCATTGCTCTGAGAAAAGGTACTCGTTCCACTCGAAACCCACATCCTATTTATAATTTTCTTAGCTATCACCGGTTGTCGCCTTCCTATTGTTCCCTTTTATCCTCGGTATCTTCTATTGCTATTCGAGAAATGTGGAAGAAGCACTTGATCACCCTGGATGGCGACAAGCCATGATTGCGAAATGCGAGGCTCTTGACCATAATGCTACTTGGGAGCTCGTTCCCCTTCCACCGGGCAAAAGGCGGTTGGTTGCCGCTAGGTATATCTTTGTTAAAATCGGCCCTAATGGTGCAGTTGATCGGCTCAAGGCTCGGTTAGTTGCAAAAGGGTACACTCAGGTTTATGGCCTTGATTATTGTGACACTTTCTCTCCCGTGGCCAAGATGACCACTATTCGTCTGTTCTTCGCAATGGCTGCCATTCGTCACTGGCCACTTCATCAATTAGATATCAAAAATGCCTTCCTACATGGTGATCTTGAGGACGAAATTTACATGGAGCAACCTCCTGGGTTTGTTGCTCAGGGGGAGTCTGAACTAGTATGCAAATTGCATCGTTCTCTATATGGCCTCAAGCAATCACCACGTGCTTGGTTTGGAAAATTTAGCTCCATTGTTCAAAAATTTGGGCTAAGACGCAGTGAAGCAAATCATTCAGTCTTTTATTGTCATACATCTCTGGGTAAATGTGTTTACTTAATAGTATATGTTGATGATATAGTCATTACAGGAAATGATATTGTTGGAATATCTCAACTGAAGGAGTACTTGTGCAGACATTTTCAAACCAAGGATTTGGGAAGCCTAAAATACTTCTTGGGCATTGAAGTAGCTCAATCAAAAGATGGAGTTGTAATCTCTCAGAGAAAATATGCTCTTGATATATTACAAGAAACAGGTATGATTGATCTGTAAACTCGTAGAGAGTCCTATGGACCCAAATAAGAAATTAACAACAGAAGAAGGTGAAGTATTCTCCGATCCGAGAGAGATATAGGAGGCTTGTCGAAAAAGCTGATTTATCTCACTATTACAAGGCCTGATCTATCTTTTGCTTGTTGGAGTGGTTAGTCGGTTCATGCGGACTCCATGTGCTTGGTCATTGGAATGCTATCATTCGCATTCTAAGGTACCTTAAAAGGCTCCTGGACAAGGATTGTTATATGAAGATAAAGGAAGCATTCGAGTCACTGAGTACTGTGATGCAGATTGGGCAGGTTCACTTGTTGATAGACGGTCTACCACTTGGATATTGTGTCTTCCTTGGAGGAAACATTATTTCATGGAAAAGTAAGAAACGAATGTAGTGGCTCGATCGACAGTTGAAGCCGAATATAGGGCAATGGCGTCACTAACTTGTGAACTTATATGGGTAAAGCGAGTTCATTCAAGAGCTTAACTTCGTGATATCCGGACTATGAAGATGTATTGTGATAACCAAACTGCACTCCACATTGCATCAAATCCCGTATTTCACGAGAGAACTAAACATATAGAAATTGATTGTCACTTTGTTCGTGAAAAGTTGTTGACAAAAGAAATATGTACCGAGTTTGTTGGATCAAATGACCAACTCGCAGATGTGTTTACCAAGTCCTTAAGGGGACCTCGGATTGAGTTCATTTGTTCCAAGCTTGGTACATACAACTTGTATGCTCCAGCTTGAGGGGGAGTGTTGGAATAGATTAGAAAATATATGTAATCATTATACCTAAGGTAGGAGGTTGAGTGTTAGATAATCTCTGCAGGGGGTTGAGTGTTAGATAATCTCTGCACCTAGTTCTGAGGAGTAATCTAGGACTGTGCATTTAATGTAATCTCCCTATTGTATCAGTTTTTATCTATATAAATACAGAACTATGAGAGGGGTTCTTCAAGCCCTCTAAAAACACTTTTTCTCAGTCTTTGAATATCAAGTGATATAATCAAATTATAGTATATAAGTGGGTGTAAACCTCACTTTATGAACTGGTTTTGAGAGCATGAATTAGACTTAAAGTCCTAGTACCATGCTCGGGATGTTCAGTCCTCGGCATGAGAATGTATATTGAAGATTTCACATCAGCCAGAAATATGACCAAATTATAGCATATAGTAGATACAAACCTTACCTTATAAGACAGTTTTGTTGAGTTGAGTTACCTTTAAAATGCACTTTATAAGAGTAATTAACTTACTAATGAATTAGTATCAAAATTGTTAGACTTAAAGTAGGACTACACTAATAGAAAGCTTTAAGTTAGTCCAGCTAAATCTAGTAGGTTGGTTCCATATGAAGGTTTGTAACTTCTTGAAAGTAGCTATAAAGTGTAACTCTGTTATGTATTTTAGTTATTAATGTTCCAGTTAAATTCCAGATTTTTTTCTCACCCTAAATATCATTCATTTCCATCTTCTCTTGTTTGTTTTGTAATGATGTATCAATAAAGTAACAAATAGATATATCATAGCAACCAAAATGATGTGCTTAGAACAATATATTGAATGGGAACTTACAGACCAACAAAATCAATATAATTCCTTTCTTTGATAGAAATTTAACTTGACATAAAACATATCTTGTAGAGATCATGTCAATAAATCAAACTTAATTTACTTTGTCAACCAAACTACACGAGCAATGCAGAGAATATTAGAATAATCTAAAATGAAAATAAATTGACCAAACCCTTAGCTATTTCTCGCTAAATTTTCCCCAACCTCAAATTATAATGTCATAATCTCAGAAGTATTGTTCAAAACTTTCTAATAGCCACAAATTTGACCCATAAACCTGTCCAATGAATTCCAGAGTACCCTAATCCCCAGATTACCTAATGAAGCTTCAAAGCATCAGTTTTGAACATGAATTAACCAAAGAAAATTCTGAACATAACCCATTAAATCCTAAACTTTTCACTCTCATATTATATCAATCATGCATACAGAACGAAATATAAATTTCTATATAAAGATCTATGAGGAAGATTAAGATCCAATGTAGCCTAGTATATCTTATTCATATAAATAGTAAAAGGTACCTAAGTATTCAAGAGATACTACCAACTTCATACAAATAACAAACAGCTGAAGAAGATAATTTCATGAAACACTAAGATGGTACTGTGCCACTCCAGTGACTACTGATCGCTCACTTATCTCAATAATGCTTGCAAGTTACAAAATAACCTACTAACTGTGCAGTTGAGTAGCATTTACATACCTAATAGGTGTGGTTGACAAAATTGAGATTGTAAGAAAGTAGAGATTAGCCACCCGTCTGAACTGCAGGACAAACAGGAATTTCTATCTTCTAAGTAACATAAAATATAGATAATGTGACAAAGAATCACACTTTCAAACATCATTGAACATCAGTCAATAATATACGAATTTACCAAACATAATGGAATATTAATTTGAGCACAAGTTGCTTTCACATATTGTAAAGCACAAGAAGACTAATGGAGGAAAAAGAATAACTGAAAAAACATAATCAGCAGCAGTGTTAAGAGTGTCTTAAATAATTACATGTCAAAAAACAGATAAATTACTCCATGACTAGTTAGGTACCCTCAAGACAAAAACATCAATCTGAACATAACCAACCAGACATATTAAATGTTTATGCTAAGACCCGAAATATAAATCTGTCTACGGCCCAAATAGATAGGAAATTCTGAAAATATTATATTAGAACAAAGAGAAATAATGTATAGGAAGTTGAGGAGAGAGAGAAAACCTATACTCAGTTATTAAGTTGGTTAGTGGGTGTTGGAAATCCAATTTTGACTAGAGACATGACCAAATTATAGTATATAAGTGAGATGCAAAACCTCACCTTATAAGTTGGTTTTGTAGGATTGAATTTAACTCAGATCCACTTTTTTAATATTGAATTAGATCTTATGTTTGTTGAGACTTTTGTAATAACCACTATCAAAAGACCCATGGATCCTTAACATGAGAGGGTGTATTAAGAATCACTCATATCCTTCATGTGAGAGGGTATAGTGGAAATCCTACAAATTATCTAATAATTCCATGCTTTTGATATCCGGTCTTCGACACCAGGAAGTGTGTTAAAAATCTCATATTAGATAAAGATATATAGCCAAATTGTATTATGTAAATGGGATGCAAACTTCAACTTACAAGCCTGTTTTGTAAGGTTGAGTTAGGTCTATATCCACTTCTAATTGTGGGTAATGTGTATAAAATGTCAGAAACTGCTAGAATAGAGAGGAAAAAGGTGGACAAGGATTTTAAGGAGAGAATAAGCACACTTTAACAGTCTAGTGTAATATTTTTCCTTGTTGTATTTTTATTTGCAGTTCTCTCTCAATCATATCTCATCACTTTCTAATAAAAGATATGAATTTAGTTATAATACAATGAATTTTCAGTATTATTGTTGTTGTTATTTTTTGGTTCCTGTCAGTTTACTAAAAAATTTGAACATATAAAAGATGTAAAACGTGATCTTATATAAATGCAATAAATATTAGCCAAAATATATACTTTCAGAAAATACTGAAGAATGTAGTTTCCAGAAAATGCAACTAACAACTCATTTATGTAAGAAAAGTCTCATTATTTGAACACTGTAAATCAATTGCATCTCACATGCTCTCCAAAAACATAAGCTTAGAGTAACGTACCTGCTCAAACAATCCTTTTGGCAAAAAGGTGAAGAAGTTATATTTGGTAGTTGATATAGAATTCCCCTGTCATAGTGGATATTAACTGATCAAAAATACTAATATGCATGTAAAATATACACTATAATATATGAAACGGAAGTTTCCAATTTCTTAAAGCATGTAAACAGAAAATAAATATAAATTCTCAAGTTATGTGCATGTCAGTAGAAATTATAAGAAACAGAAGAAGATGGAACCAGTTTGATTTCATAATGATCAATAAAATAGGAAAACTGCACTGACTTCCTTGACTAAATTTCAATTGACATCCATGTTTAAAGAAAACTAGAAAAAATGAGAAAAATTTCATAGAACTATTATTTTCAAATGTCTGGCCCCTAAATAATGCTTTTTATGTGAACCCTTCCATTCCAGATAATCTGACAGATCCAAACTGGTAGAAATAATATACTCTAGGAAATAAAAATTCACTCACCAATAACCTACATTTTATGCTTCACAACATTTTAACTTCTTCCATATCAATTCGAGACTTTTTGAATGAATATAACTCCCATAATGCATTTCTCATCAAACCATTTTCATGATTATACTGCCAGTTCTAACCACCTCCTGAATGAATATAATGCATTTTCTTTCTATTTTATTTCCTTTAAAAGAGATTAAATTACTCTTTTCCATAGTGGAAAAAAAAAATCATGCGTTCTATTCTGAAAAAGTGCTACAAAATGTTCTAAAATGTCAACTGCTATTCCTACAATAGGTCAATCTCAAATGTTGAGAATAATAGAACAGTGCAATCGATTGGTGTGCTTGAACCCATGGTAGATTAGTCTGTCTCATAGTTATCATCAAAATGCAATTCACAATTTGAATTGTTCGAATCAATACATTTTGGCTATCTACCAATTTATATCACAAGATAAATATTAAATGATTTGGTATATTACCATAGATGAATTAATCTATGTAAGTTTATATATTTTAACTTAAAATCTTAAAAAAAAAAAAAGTTAAATAACTTGATATTTTTTAATTTTTTAATTAAAAACAAAAACAAGTTATAAAAACCTAAAATCTTCTAAAAGATATAACGATATTATGAGATATTTTATACATATTCTAACACTCACCCTCAAGCTAAACTTTACTAAGCTTTAAAGCTTGTTGAATAGAGTTCAGCACACTAAATGTCAGAGCAGTGCCAGTGTACAGAGAAAGGCCAGAAACATCAGGAAGGTGCCATAAAACATCAGAAATTACCAGAGACAGCATCAAAGATCAATGAGTCATGTTTCAGGTTTCAGAAACACAAGGGCATCCAATTATTTTACAATAGTATTTTGAATTCAAACCCCAAAGAAGGGAAGCAAAATCACAATATTATCCCCAAACATAAATCTTATAGTATTGTAGGAGCAGACTAGGATTTTCAACCAAAGTCAGTGCCTGTAAATGCCATGAATATCCACAAATGTGGCTGCAATTCACACCACTCCAAGTGCGACCACAATCTGTAATGTGATGGCTTCGATGGGGCAGCCTATATTCGAGATGCAACAGGAATAGTGCCATTGTAGCACACATCAAGATGACAACTCTGGTGGAATTAATTGCAAAAAATGTCATAGAGTTCAATTGCAAATCATGTCTACTGACCTGAGTCCTTCTTAATTGTTACACTTATAGTAAGCCTCTAGAATTAGGGAAAACCTTCATCTGATCTGTTTCATTACGGGCTTCCGTAGGTCTTCTCTATATAGTATACATGCTCAAACCACCTAGGAAACTTTCTAACATCATTTCATTTTTAGAATAGGAGCTACCATAACATGCTCTCTAACATTGTCATTGATAAACCTATACCGTCTAATAAGACAAATTTACTTTAGAAACTTGAAAAGTAATTTAATCTTCGTAAAACTAGAGAAAAAAGGATGTACCCACTTGAACCTTACATCACTTCATACTCAACATTCAACTAAACATCTCCTTCAAAGAAAAGTAAAATGCCAAAACCAATTAATTCCTGTTTCTATTTTTCATAATTCTATTTCATTGCAATTTGAAATGCTCAACCGTCCAAGTGGATGTCTTTCATTTCACTGACACTTGTTGACAGAATAGGGATCCTCAAGCAAACCCCAAAGGTTTTATTAGACTATCTACTTTTGTCTAATAGATCCCGTAAAAACAAAATATAAGTTAATCTAAGAGTTTCCAAGTACAAAAGAATAATTCCACGGATAAACCCTTAAAATAATTTCAAAGAGCAATAAAATGCACTCATGTAATCCACAGACGCATCTACTCACCAAAGCTCAAGCTAAACTATCCTTCGACATTTGTCTAAACTAAACATTAACAAAACACCAATTAATATATCACTAGCCGTGCCTTCCACAACCAACAAACTCACTGAAACAAACACTGTACAAAACATCATCAACCACTACACAATCAGGCAAAAGCGTCAACCAACCACGCAACACAAACAAGAATTGAAATAAGAAAAACGAAATCGGAGAGGGAAACGGTTGGACCTTGAATCGGATAGGATAATTGGCCTCGCGATCGTTGCAGAAGATGGTGCGGTGAGTCGGAGCCTGCGGCTGAACTCGGCCGAGTCGAACCGTTCGAGCGGAAGCATTATTTCCCAACGTGGTACTCGATCGAGAAGAAACAGAAGATTGAATCCCATCCCATCCCTTCATCCTTCAATTTTTCATGCGATCGCTTCTTCTTCTTCTTCTCCTTTTTTGCCAACCAATTGCTTTTAAACACGAATCAACGAACCAATGAATCTCTCTCTCGGTCGCAAACGCTACTTGGGTTGGTGCTCCTTCCAACAACGCTGAAACCAAGAGATTCAACCCTCAAATTCTCCTTTTTACGGTTTTACCCTCCGCTTCTATTTCACTTTCTTTTTTTGTGCTAAATTCCCTCGGGGTCCCGCTGAATTCACTCGTTATATTCACGCGTCCCCTTCAAACCATGTTACTGGAATAATATTAATAATACTACGTTCTCAAAAAAAAAAAAATGTTACTATAATACTTATATTTGACTTTTTTATATAAAATGTTTTGGGAAATTTAAAAATATTATAAAGACTGATCTAAATTCTTACCCTTAACCATTTTATAAGACGTGTGAAGATGTAGTTTTCAAATGGTTTTACAAGGTCGCGTGACCCGTTCCTTGAAGGTTTCAAAATTCAAACTCGGAGGTGGTTGATTATTATTTTGCTTAACCAACGCAATTTTGCTAGGTCTATTTGGATCGAGTTGTACCTGTCATTTAAGAATGCATAAAAGGATGTTTCCTTCTTATTCTCTCGTTCATCATCCTTTCACAAAACAAAGAGACATATAAGTACATACAAACTTTAAGATTTTAAATATATATTTTTATAATCATGGTCGTTCGAATTTTGAATAAAATGGCATACACACAATGACTTCATACTCAAAATTGAGAATCGAATCGGATCTCATTAATAACTAAAATGTCTAACCACTTGTGTTAAATATGATTTTAGTTATACTATATTAATTGAGTTTTTTTTTAATATATTATTATCCAAGGTTTAATATGTATATTATTGAGTATTATTGAAAAAGATAAAAATTATTTCTTTATATTTTCAGAGAAATGTTGTGAATTAGAAAATATATGTTGGCAAAATTTAAGTTATGTATATATATATATATGATACATAATTTAAATGTGTTAGAGTTATTATTTATTAAGTCAAATAATAAAGTGATCTGACTAAATTAAAAAGTTTGACTAAACGCATATGTCATGAAAATAAAATTGTGTATAGATCATAGAGTAATTTCTAATTTGATGAGGGGCTAAATTAGAAATACTAAAAATTTAAGTAATTAACCTAATTCTGGTTATTTTAAGGGGTCATGGTCCCTTCTGAGAGCACGTAGACAGAACGTAAGTTTTACTCCCGTTCGTTTCTTTCTATCCCTATCAAGAGAGAAAATCAAGAGGGAAATACAGATGCTCTTTAGGTGGAAGACCATGAGATCAATATAGTGTTCTACAAAGACATTATCATTATGGTTAATTCAGGTACGCTTTCGCATTTAGTTTATAACATGTTTATCAATATGGAATTACATTTATGTTTGATCGTTAGAATGAAGATCATAATTAATTATAGTTTACCTAACAATTGGTATCAGAGCAACCCATACTTATTCATGTTTGTCTTTGGAAATTACATTTAACAAAATTTAGATTTTGTTTAATTCAGAACCCTAGGTGGAGAATAATCTCCAATTTTCGTAAACTCTAAATTCAAATTTGGGATAAATTCCCAATTTTAAACCTAATTTCGAATTTGGGGGTAAAATCTCCAATCTGCTCGTGGTCACTAATCACAAGTCCGAATAAAGATCGGAAAAGTAATAGTGAGGGGCTACGAAGGTGGCATTTCGCGAGAAGATATTTTGGACCAAAACCCGATTGGCTCCAATGGTTCCGATAGGAGATGATTGTAGTGGAGAGTTAGGTGTATTGCTTCTGACTATAAATACACTGATTGTTAATTGCTACCATCATTCGTACGAGGAATTGGTCTTGGCTTTGGGGTCTCGGAACCTGTGCTTTGTTGTTATGTTGGGATGGCTATGATGGTCAACAGAGGGAATGAATGTGCTTCGAATCACGTGCACTTTTGTCACATGAGTTGAAGTGTTCAGGTTTTTTAGACATTAAAATTAAGGGATTAATACTTCTAATGGAAAATTCTTGCTTTACGAATAGCAGTGGTGATCTCCGCGCCATTATACTTTTTTTTAATAAATAAATAATCAAATTCTGGTTTTGTTTAATATTTTACATGAGTTAATTAAATTAAGAAATCGTTAAAGCGGTCTCTCTTATATAAATTTATTTATAGAAAAATATTAAATCTTTGGTTTTGTTATATAATATTCAAAATTTTGGAAATTTAATATTTTTTGTGAGCAAATTGAGTCAACAAGTCACTAAAGTAACATCTCTTGAATTGGGTAGTTCGTGAAAATATTGAATGCTAGTGTTTGTGTATATTCATGCGAGTATTAGTCGGTCCAAAGGAAGATTAATATTTGACCGAATTGCATACACACCTGTAATGATAAGCATGTGATAATTATAAGGATTTGCTTTGTATAAATAAATTCAAAGACGGATTTGTTGTTGGACGTGTTTTATTGTCAATGTTTGATTATTACAACAAGATACCTCTAGCAGTTAATATTACTGTCCAAAGACTTGATATTGATGGTGCATTGGGTGTCTTGAGATGAGTTAAACCATTATTTGAATATATACTTTATTTATAATTATTTATTTTTATAATGTGAGCATAATTAATTTATTTATCTTGTTCTTAATTCAGCTACAGTTATTTCTGTATCTGTCAATTTAAATTTTGTTCTGATCCTCAAAAGTATGTTTCCTACTTTGGTGCGTTGCTGAAGTCAATTTAGTGTCGATACCTAGTAACACTTGGTGGTTAGACTCAGGTGCAACTACTAACATCAGTGTTTCTATGAAGGGTTGCCTAAGCTACCGGAAGCCAATTGATTCTGAAAGATGGATATATGTTGGAGATGGGAAATCGGTAGAGGTGGAAGTTATAAGACATTTTAAATTATTATTGAGTACTGGTTTTTATTTGGATTTGAAAGACACTTTTGTTGTGCCGTCATTTAGACGGAATTTGGTTTCAGTTTCTTATTTGGACAAATTAGGTTATTTGTGTTCATTTAGAAACAATAAGTTCAGTTTGTCTTTTAATTCAGATATTGTTGAAACTGGTTCACTTTTGCCTTATGATAACCTATATTTACTTGATAATGTGACCACCTATAATGAAACCCTTAATACAGAATCACGGGGTACTAAACGTAAAATTGACGATACTCACTCAGGAGCATTATGGCACAGGCGCTTAGGTCACATATCTAAAAATAGAGTTGAACGACTTGTGTCAAATGGAATCTTAGAGTCCATTGACTTCACAAACTTTGATTTTTGTGTTGAATGCATTAAGTGAAAGTGATGAAGATCTTATTGAATTACTTTGGCAAAGATCTTGTTGATTTGATGAAGTCAAAAATGAAGTCAAAGACTACTTTGTGGCAGTCAAAGGTCACTTAGATAAAAGAGTAGTGGGATTAGTGAGTCTGCATCTCTGCTTAGGTATAATCATTTTTATCTCTCTGCTGCATGAGGTTTCTTCATTTAAAAGATTTTGCAATTGCCTCTAAAAAATGTTTAAAGGGTTAAAAACAAAGTATTTTGATAAAAGGTTTTTAAGTAACTATTTTAACTAATAGTATATAAGCTTTATCAACTAAAATGTTCTTAACATTTTTACAACAGGTTTTTAACTGATATGTTTTCGAAATAATCGATTGTTTTCATTAGAAGGATTTTTGAAAACCTTCTGCCAGTATTTTAACTGATATAGAATTGAAATAATCGATTAAAATGACTTAGAATATTTTGAAAAGTGTTATGGCAGAATTTTAATCGATACAAATGCGAAATAATCGATTAAAACAACTAAGAGGTTTTTTCCAGAATGTTTCAATCGATTAAAACAAGGTTTTATCAGTTAAAATTACTTAGAAAGTTTTATGAAATCTTTTGGTAGAATTATAATCGATTAAAATGTGTTTCAATCGATTAAAATAACTAAGTGAACTTTTTTCAAAGTGTTTTAATCGATTAAAACAGATTGTTATCAGTTAAAATCACATAGAAAAGTTTATAAGAATGTTTTGCAGTATTTTAATCGATTGAAAGACGAAACAATTGATTAAAATAGTTTGGAAGATTTTTTTACAAAGAGTTTTAATTGATATAAACGGTGTCGTATCAGTTAAAACAAATCGGAAAATAATCAAGAACGTTTTAACAGATTAAAAGAAGTTTTAACAGATTAAAACAAGACTTTTAACAGATTAAATAAACCAGCGAGTTTTGAAAATCTTCTATATAAACAGAATTGCTTGAACCTTTTAACATACATCTTTTAGCAATCAATCAAGCAATCAAAAGTGCTACTTTCAAGAGAGATTCGCGCTAGTTTTTGTGAAGTTAATAAGAATTCTTTCTTGAGGCAAAATTGCATTCTTTTGAAGAAGAAACACATACTGCAGAGCTGCATAAATCTGGTTTGAGCGTTCTAAGTTTCTTCTATTTGTTTCTTTACTTTCTTTACTTGTATTGTGGGTGCCTAGAATTGTGGGCATTGGTTTCCGTAGTTGGAATTTGGTTGCAGGGTTGGTCAAGAACTGGAATTTGGTTCTTGGTGAAGGTTTAGGTGCAGGAACTGGAATTGTGGTTCTTGTGGTAGATTGAGTGTGAGATTAAAGTTGTAATCTGTAAAACGTTCAATCTAGTGGAACCCAGCTGGAATTTGACTGGAGACTGGACGTAGCCTGTGACACCTTTAATACCAACATTCACTTTATTATGATTTATGAATTATTATTGGTTCCTTTTAGTATTTGATTACCAATACACTCTTGTAGAAGTAAGGTACACAATAAATAGAACATACACTTAGTGATTAATATACATATCATTCATAAGTATCAAGTATAACTAGATAGTAAATATACACAAAATCATCCCAAAATACACCTAACAAGGGTTCACAAGACCAGAACAAACAAACTAACTAGACAAACTAACT